AGTAAGTATGAGAGTCGCCTTCAACTAGTTTCATTAATTAAATAAAATGAGTGTAAGTGTTATAAAAAGTATAATTAAGAAGATTTTTTTACATTATAAATCTATACTAATATATAAAACGACCTATGCCCTTAGCCAAATCAACGGCACACATAGCTTAATCACGTCGCATTCCCATCGCAACCCTTCGTATTCCCACCATTCCACATTCTTATTCTTCTGTTTCGCCCTAAGGGGTTGTTCTTCTATGTTGATGCATATTTGTTGTCTTGCCAAAGTGGTTATTACATGGATTATGAAAAATTCCTTTGTGAATTGTTTAGAGAGCTATGATCGAATAGGTGTATAAATCATGGCTTTTATGATGACTTGTTTTGTGTGATCTTACAACTATTGCACACCAAGTGTTTGGTGAAATGTTGTTTAGGAAAGTTTGTGATATATGGTTGGGTGCCTTTATGTTGCCATCTTCATTAATATTGTTGCTACTATGAAAGCTCATTCCCATTTAGTCGCTCGCTCATTTGTTCTTTTTGTTAGATATTCTACAATACGATGGATTAGAAACATCTAATTGTGACAAGTTTGTTATCACTTTGTCGCCGCTTGTTGATTTCTAAGGCTTTGAAGGTTTTCTTTTTTTGTTTATGCATATTGTGTTGAAATTTATTTGGAGTGTTAAACTATGGTCATATTCCCCACCTCTTTGCCTAGTGAATAGACCAAGTGGCGGCATGAAAATTCAAGTTCGAGAGACATGCTTCTTCTAAGAAATATGAGAAGAGAGATGCATATTTGTGCGGGCTTTCGATAGTACTTGTTTTGTCCCTTTTCTTTTTCTCTTTGGGTGTGGTTTTGACGATGAAAAGATTATGAGCTATTTTGCGCTTCGTTCCCCATGAATTTTGGCATTGTCGGTGTTTCTTTATGCTTATGAAGTTTTATCATTTCTTAAGTTGGCATGCAATGAGAAAGGTTGGAAACTTGTTGGCAAGTTTTAAGAGCTATTTTATATCGAATGATGGTTGGTGGACTTTGAGAGTTGTAGCAAAGTGCTTTGTGATAAAAAAAAAACTCACCATGCTATAAGTATTTCATTTGGGACGAGTGAGATGAATGATTTTGCGAAGTATGGATGTGTTCCATAATGGAGCCTATGTTGTTGAAATCATTAGCTATATATATATAGAATTTGTAGAAGATCATGTTTACATATGAGTTATGTCATGCTATGTGTTATTTAAAGAAAACCTCATGTGTTCGATGCCTTTTAAAACCGACTTCATTTGCATTCTGCGATCGGGCTTTTCCTTTATAAATTATGTATTTTTTTCCAGCAAATTGTTGAGATCTAAGGCTTCTTCTATGTACGTTGTGAAACGGCCTAATATTGCAATTGCGTGCTGCTTCTATATGGACTGCAGCAAGCAATCTATCGTTAGGCAATAAGGATTTCCTGCCTTTAGCTCTGATTATCCTCTGTGCTTAGTAGGATTTTTCGGTGACAAGGCAGGTATATCCTGCAAATAAATTTACTTCTTCGTTTATTAGACATTATGATGACTTATTTTCCACTGGTTTTGGCATGGTGCTGGATGATGAAACAAATCAGACGGATTCCCATTGATTTCTACAAAATGATATCTTAACCAGCTACTTCTGACACATTATGCCTCCATTGTTTATCTTTCTTTGTTTTTTTTAGTTCTTTGTTTGGGATTATGTCGGACCCTAATGAGCCAGTGATGTGATCATTATATTTGCTACTCTTGATGGTGCCAACCATCTGATGAACATAACCACCAAGATCTCTGAGGCTTTGTTGTGATTTATTTTACTATTTTTTTTAATCTTGCCTAATGCAAAAATTGCAAAAAAAATTGAAACTTCAATCACAAGTTTGCTGTCTATTATTGTAGTATATAGTTTAATCTTAAGCCTTTTTGAGCAATAAATCACTCATTATTGAACTATAGTATTTGTAATCTGATCAATAGAATTTGAAGCCTTTGAAGTTTTTTAGGAGATTATTTACATTGACTTTTATCATTCTATTTCGGGTTGAATTCAAAATTAATTTGATGGTTCACATTAGTTTTAGCAGATGAAGTTAATGGATGTTATTGTTGGTGTTGATAGTGTTTGCAAAGTTTTATTCAAATTATAATATTTAGATATTATAATTGATTGATAATGGTTGGTAGACTCTAATTGAATGGTAGTGTTTAGGAGGTCATAGTTAATTTTTTATGTAAATTTTGGTGATTGTAGTTTAGATTGTAATTAGATGATTGTGGATGGTAGAGTGCAATTGAATTTTTTTTTTTGCAATTGAATTATCATTGAATATGATATTGTATTTGGGCAACAATGGTTAAGAGATTATTGTTAGCTCATGGTAGTTTAATAATGATGGTAGGGAGATCCTAATAAAACAAATATGGTTGATAGGAGTAGGTGTGTATATTAGTCAAGCCTACTTGTAAGCTGGGTTGTGCTTGATTAGGATGTAATGTGCTAGAAAACAACTACAAATAAAACAATCTAAATTTGATTAGATTTTGGTTTGTGCTTGATTAAGATGTAATGTGCTAGAAAACAACTACAAATAAAACAATCTAATTTGATTAAATTTTAGTTAAATAAAAGATTTGGATATACATTATAATGATCTTTGTAGTTGTTTTATTTGTAAACAAAGAAATGTATAAGGAATTGAGAGCTTCTTGGTTTGAGATGATATCAATGAATTCTTATAAAGGAAAGATCTTAAACCATTGCACTCTAAAAAGTCACGAAACTAATGCTAGGCAATTTTGGTGTTTGAATCCTCATAAATTTTCCCATCATTTGAATTATATTTTGTATCTACTGAAGCTTCTCAATATAGCTTTATTTTTAAGGTGTTTTACATCTTAGCGGATACCACAAATTAAATTAATAAAACTTGCTTCTATTTTATTTGTATTATTCAATGATGATTGATCTTCTTCAATAAAAAAATGTCAAATGAATTAAGAGATGAGACTTGAGTCAATGAGTACTGAAATACAAGCAAATAAGCAATACTTTAAAGTGTGTTAGGGCTCATTAGTGTAGTGGATTTGGATTTATAGCATGGAGAAGAATATAAGTGAGTTTTGAAGATATTTTCAAATGAAGAAGTGTTAAATATGACAATTTCATCTTCTTGTAAGAATCTCTTTTCATTATTTTCAAGAAACATAATCTTGACATAAGGGCACTCAAAAGAATAAAAGTAATGATAGTAACTTCAAAAATGATGAAACTTATATTCTGGAACATTAGACATTAGACATCTCTTAATGATAAAAAATAGACATAACTATAACTCATGAAAGTTGTTTGAGAATGGATGATGTATAAACCATAAGGTTACAAAAAAAGGACATTGATTGATGATCCTGGGAGAAAACAACATAAAGAAGGAAAACTATCATATAATAATTAGTCAATCCTTGAGAAGAGAAAAATATGGTATGAAAATTGAGAAGATTAATCCCAGGAAGGAAAGAGATACATAGAAAAAAGGAAATTAGTCTTATTGAAGGTAATGTATGTTCCCACTGAGAAAGGATGTCTATCCTAAAAAGAAGATATATATGAAATAGGGAGAAAGATGAATCCTACAGAGTAAAAGCATTATCCTATGAAAGAGATTTAAACTAGATAGTAAATTGACTGGCCTAGAGAATGGAGATTTATATCCCAAAAAATTATATTTAATTGTAAGAGAAGAAATCACTTATCCAAATAGAAGAATAATGAACCTAAGAGGCAGTAAAGTATCAAATAAAAAGGGGAGACAATATTCCTTAGTGTATAGGAGGATGAAATTAATACAAATCACATAATTATCCATCATTTTGGATTGTCTTGGTTCTTTAGCCTACTTAGCTAGGAAAGATGATCAAACTTCCGTGACAATAAAGATTGTTCTCAACACCATGAATTACATAATCCAAAAGGATCTTATAGACCAGAAGATGCAAGGAAACCTAATACTATGTTGGTAGATGGAACTTATACACCACAACCATTGGAGGATAGAAGAATAGGCTAATGATGCCTTAAAACCTAAGAATTATGCATTTTCTAGATTGTTGAAGAAACTTAAGGACTAGGACTTATGACATTATTACACCAATTACATCAGGCTTAAAACATCAGATTTACATCATTCTTGGTGACGAATGCCACTGACCCTCTTGGTTCCAAGTGAAAGAGAAGGTTGTTTAGTTAAACAAATACACCTTAGAGAAGGCTAGCTATAGAAAGGGCATGTATATGATATATTATTTTTTATCGATCATTATGAGAGTTTTCGACAACAAATAGACTCATAAGGTCAAGATATGAATTATGCATCAGCATGTCCAAGGCTAATAGGTAGCATGTTTATGTTTAATATGATAAACCCATATGCTATCATGTATTTTTTCTTGATTTAAAAGATCGATTAATTTTAATTGCATGTTTGTGAACTACAATCCTCAAATTCTATTCATCTAGATAGACAAGCAAGGTAAGTTCCATCACATAGCACTTCAAAGCAAACTATAGTTGCGCTTTTTAAATATTTTGAAATATTCAATTTTCTTTTCAAAATAAAATATGATTCTTAATGAAAATACTCTTAACTAACAAGATGAAAGGGGAACATGCTTTTTTTATATAACTTTATGAAGATAGGCTTTTATACAACAATTTTCTTGAGGTTGCATCGGTAGAAAGAAATTAGATTAACACTTGTTTTTCATCATCGCAGTCCATTCAAGGCATATAACTAGGTGCATTAGATGTAAAAATGCAGAAGGGATGCAAATTTATGTGTGATGACATACATAAAATTTGTCGTTGTAAATTTCTTCTTATGATGAGATAAATATGCTATATGTTAAACCTATCTATATTGTGTGCGCACATGAAATGTAATGCTAAAGGAGGAGGGGTAAGCTTTCTTTAACTCCTTTGTCAAGTCAAGATTCACACGAATGAGTGAAACTGGTTTGGTAAGTAAATTATGCTTTAAGCGATTAATCATAAGAATCTTTCCTTACAATGTATTTTATTCTTTTTAAAATTCAATGCATAATGTGTTCATCTCTTAATAATATATTTCTACACTTGTGTCTATTAAATATTAACTTTTTATGTGTCAAATATTAAATTTTTATTTTTACTCTAATAAAATATTGATACAAATATTTTAATTCTTTTATAGTTTACTTTTTGAGCTCAAAATCATACTTTTGTTATTTCTTTTTTTCTTTCATCTCCACTCTTTCTCCTCTGGTTTATTGACTTTTTGCTATTTATCTATTACAGAGTCTTCTCCTGTTTAATTGTTCTACTCTATCTTGATGGATGTGGTGCTAGAATGGTTTGGTGGTTGAATCATGGAGAGGCTCATTAGGCTCATTCACATTGGCTTTATGTACCTGCAAAATCAATTCACTTGGAGCAAAAGCATGAATGAGGAGCTGGAAAGGCTGCAAAAAATCCACCCCCCTTGATCCAATCTGTCGTGTTTGCTTCCAATGAAGCACATATCAAAGATCAAAACCCATCTCTCAACAAATGGCTGTCTTCTACGAGATGTCATTGATGAGGCAGATGATGTGCTCGATGAGTTTGAGTACAAGCAACTTCAGAATCAGCTGAACATAAAGGAAAGACTTATAAAATTTGGAAACGTTCTCTCTATATTGATGAAACTGGAGGTGGTAGTGAAGAAACTTGATGAAGTTTCTGTAGATGATGGTAAATTTTTTTACCTTACAGAAAATACAATGCTAGAGAAGTAGGAGCACCAACTTGAGTTGGAAAAAACACGTAAATCAAGTTCCTTGCCTAAAATGATCTGATTGGTCGAGCTAAGGATAAGGAGTTTGTTATGCTGTGTTTAAGGAAGCCATCAAATGAACAACCAACTCATATTACAGCCACAACGTTGTATAGAAACATTTCTCTTCTATCTATGGTCGGTCATGGAGGTATGGGAAAGACTAATCTGTTGCAACATGTCTATGAAGATGAAATGACGAAGGAATTAGATCTTAAAATCTGGGTTTGTGTTTCCAACAGTTTTGATGATAAAAAGTCATTAAAGATACGTTGGCATCCTATGAAGTGAAGATGTCGGATTTGGAGTCAATACACTTCAAGAGAGTTTTAAGATCAAGGTGATGTTCAAAAAAATTTTACTCATTCTGGATTGACATTTGGGAGTAGGATAAAATCAAATGGGAGAATGTGTTGACAGCTCTGGCCTATGGAAGTTTGGGAAGTAAAATTTTGATAACAAGTCAAATAGACTGATGATATCAAAGGTAATTAAAAAGAAAATGGAAATATTGAGATTATGAGGCTTGGAGGAAGTGGGTGTTTGCAACTCCTCAACTATCATACATTTGTTAATATGGGGAATCTTGATGATAATAAGAAAATAAGAGTCATCACTGGACAGATAGTTAAAGAGTTCTAAGAATCTCTGTTGGTAGCAATGGCCAGCGGCGGTGTTTTGAATTTTAGTTTTACTGAAATATATTGGATGAAAGTCTTAAACAATAATTTTGAAATTATAAAATTGGATCATAATTTTATCATACATATCTGAAGATTAAGATATACATCAAGCCTTTATCTAACTACGTGGGGTCGGCTACATGAATCCTTTTTCTCCATTGTGTCCTATTAAAAGTCAAATTCTCGTTTAAATTTAATAAAGAAAGGTCATTCCTAATATTTTCTAACCAAGTCTTTTTAGGTCTACCCCTACCTTTCTTAACATAAGTCAAATCTAATACCTCTACTCTCCTAATCGGGTCATCGGAAGACCGCCGTTTTATGTGACCAAACCATCTAAGGTGACTCTCTCTAATCTTATCTTCTACTGGAGCTACTCCAACCTTTTCACGTATATGCTCATTTCATATCTTATCTCTAAGGGTAAAGCCACTCATCCACCTGAGCATCCTCATCTCTGCTACACTTAACTTAGTATTATGCTTCTCTTTTAATGGCCAACATTCGGCACCATAAAGCATTGCATGCCTCACTACCATCTTATAGAATTTTCCCTTAAGTTTGAGGGGTATATTTCTATCACATAACAAGCCCGATGCATTCCTCCACTTCAACCATCCAACTTGAATTCTACTGATAATATCCCCATCTATTTCACCATCACTCTGAATAATAGATCCAAGATATCTAAAACGTGTACTCTTATTAATGACTTGATTGCCCAAAGTCACAATCCCCTCACTAGGTCTTTTACTACTAAAATTACACTCCATATATTCCGTTTTAGATCTACTCAAGCGAAAACCTTTAGACTCTAAGGTTGACCTCCATAATTCAAGTTTACCTTCAACTCCCTCTCTAGTCTTATCAACAAGAAGAATATCATCAGCAAAAAGCATACACCAAGGTACATCCTCTTGCAAATGTCTAGTTAGAACATCCATGACTAAAGCAAAAAGATATGGGCTTAAGGCTGATCCTTGATGTAACCCAACCGAAATAGGGAAATTCTTGGTCCATCCTTGTGTATGAACACAAGTAATAGCTCATGCATACATATCTTTAATGATTTGAATATAAGCATTATTGACTCCTTTCTTTTCAAGAACTCTCCATAGCACTTCTCTTGGAACTTTATCATATGCTTTTTCTAAATCAATAAATATAATATGTAGATCCTCCTTATTTTCTTTATATTTCTCCATCAAACCTCTTAATAAATGTATGGCTTCCATAGTCGACCTACCCGGCATGAATCCAAATTGATTTTGAGAAACATTAGTATCACGTTGCAACCTATGCTCCAAATTGATTTTGCCAAAACATCTATAGAATTATTTCAATTTTATAGATCAGTTGCTTGGAGTGGCACACTTTACCTCCTTTTTTGTACTTCTCTTTCTCAAGTTTCTTACTCTTGTTCGTATGCCAAAAGTAAAACAACTTTGTAGTAAATTGTATGGGAATGATAGAGATTTTGTCTTTCAATCTCTAGAGATGCTGTGTGTCGAAATTTTGAATGCACTGGAGAATTGGTTTGATGCGGCTATAGGGGAATATTATTGGATGTTTTTGATAGGAAATACTTGAGTTTGTAAGCAAACATATCACCAATTGGTGAAAAACAGCGAGAATAATGCGAAATCTGGGTAAAAACAGCCCAAAATAATATAATGCGGTAGGAAAATCAAAGCCAAACAATAAGGAAAACTTGATACAAGAGATCCTCAATTGGAGAGGAGGATCGTCTCACCCAAATCTCTAGACAAGAGAGTCTAGAGTCCAAGTCGCCAAGGAACCCTAATTGAGCACAAATCAAAACATAATCCTTCCTTAAACATCTCATTTCTTAATAAAAACACTTTCCTAATCTAATCTCCCTCCCAAGACCTAGCCGCCCCCTCCTTTTGAATTTGAAATCCATTAGGCTAGTTGGGGCTCACCATGTTGGCGGGCAAGAGCCAGGGTGGCGGACATGTTCCGACTCCTATAAACCTGAACAGGCTGGGCCGGTTCAGGGTGAACCGACCTAACAATTTCCATGCTTGAGAGAACTATGCCTATAAAACTGCTCAAATTTGCAAGAGTTGCCCGCTGGGCCTCCTATGCTCAAGACATTAAATGCAAATAACATTGGATGGAAAGCTTTGAACTGTTATAGCATCTCAGAGTCTGTTCCCCTTGAAGTTTTAAAAGTCATTTGCTATTCAAACATCACATCTCTTCCCCTAGCTGATGAAATTCCTGCACTCAGATGATTGGAAATTAGAGATTACCCCAATTTTGATCTCTCCCGAAGGACTACAAGAAGTGGAGACTACTGAGACTCGCCAGCTCATTATAAGTGAACTTGATATTATTAATGATCCATCTGTTTTGCTAATGACACCATTAAGAACTCCATCTGAAAGTTAACAATTGAGGATAAAAATGAGCTGGTTTAGTTTCCAATTGAGGTGGAGCAGTGGTTTTTGCTAGTTAGCTCATCTATTTGTGAGTTAAACTTTAGAAGGATAAAATCCCTACAATCTCTCCCTTATTGGAATGTCTTTCTTCACTTAAGGTTTTACACGTATAATATGTTGCTGAATTCCAAAAGTTGCCAAACATCCCTACCTCTTTGGAACGATTAGTACTTATCCAACTCAAATTATTATAGATCCAACCTTCTTGCCTATCTTTCTCCTATTCATCACCTCAAAAACTTTTCATTTGTGAAGTTCCTCAGCTGCAAGTATTACCATACCTTCCTTTTGCATCTAGAATCTCTTGGTAGCTTGGATTGCCCACCTACTTGCCGTTATAGCCTTTCCTCTTTTCATGAACTTCACATTAGTTTTGTTCCTCCGATACGAGCATTGCCTACTCTACCTCTTTTGTGTGAACTAAATTTTGGTCACCTTGCAAACCTGCATTGCCTGCCTTCTATTCTTCCTAGTATTTTTTCTCTAAAAAAAACTAAGAATCAATATGGTTCCAAAGATTCGAGAATTTTCAGACCTCCCTTCCTCTGTGTTTTTTGCATCTAGAATCTCTTGGTAGCCTGGATTGCCCGCCTTCTTGCCTTTCTAGCCTTTCTTCTTTTTTTGAACATCACATTAATTTTGTTCCTCGGATCTGAACATTACCTACCGTACCTCTTTTGCGTTAACTAAATTTAGCTCACCTTGCAAACCTGTATTGATTGCCTTCTAATCTTCCTAGTCTTTTTCCTCTCTAAAAATTTAAGAATCTATATGGTTCAAAAGATCCGAGAATTCTGATCTAATTTTATACTTCAAAAATTACTATTTAAGATTTTCATCTAATATATTTCAGTGGAGTTAGAATTTAAAATGCCACCGATGACTCTTTGCTGCCAATGGAGATCCTACGAGCTTTTAACTATCTATCTAGCGATTACTCTTAATCCAGACCTCTCCCACTCCGTGGAAAATATGATCATCTACAATTGTCGTCCATAATTGCAGAAGTGTTATCAAATGATTTCAAGTTTTGACCGGCACAAGATTGTTGACATTCCTCATTTTCATATTTCTACAAAGTAAGTTCTTACAAATTTATTAAAGCTTTTTCACTTATTAATTTAGTCAATTTTATTTTTGTGTTTGCAGATGGTATATTGTGAGGCTTTTTTCATGCTCCAACTATGACTTCTAGAAAGACAATCTAAGCACTGCTCCAATGTCATCATTCATAAGACCTGACACAACTTATTTACTAAAGTTTTCATACTTTTTGTGAGATTTGCTTCTTGATACATAGGAATTGAAAAGAAACAAAAGGCAGAAGTGAATTTATTTAAAGTTCTCTTACTTTCTAGAAATAGTCTAGTGGCAAAAGGTGTTATGTGGTGAATTCTTTTCAATGGATTTTATCATGTTGCCATTTACTGTTTTGATGATTCATGAATGAAATTCTATGTATATCTTCTAGTTTTGTTGATTTTGCTTGTTTTCATACTAAGTGTCATTTTGATTCTAGGATTACTCTATTGGTTAGTTTTTCTGGTCTCACAAATTTTACACTAAGTTGTAATCCTCTTTGTGGATGCTAGGAACTACTAAATCATTTAATGTTTTATATTTCTATTGGCCTTGCAATGTGGAAGTTGTTCATATTTTTGCTATATCTATACTACTTAAAAGTGTGACTTATGCATTGAGAATCTTAATCATTCTTTTTTTCAATTAAAAAAATCTTCACCATTTGATTTGCACCTTTTCAAATCCTGTTCTTATGCTTAGCTATTAAGTTTGCTAATTCTTATTCGGCTTCATGTTGAGAATAGTTTTGAAAGAGTTGAAGTTTCTTAGCAAGTTGTTCTTGTCGGATCGTAGTCACAACGGGAGCTCTCCACGTGCTTCCCATGAAGAGGAGTTTTGAAAGAGTTTTTTCTAAAAAAGCTTTACGTATTATTCTAGGGTTTAGGGAGTTTGCCGCGAATTCACGATGTTGTTTCTATTGGAATCGGAAGTCATGACTGGAGTTCGCTGCGAAGGTAACGATCTTTCTCTTTTTTCTCCTTGAACACTTCTTTGACTATTTTGAAGAATAGTTTTGAAAGAGTCACTAAAAAGCTTCTTTGCCTTCCCATGCTCCACCCCTCTCTCCTCTAGTTAAGCATGTTTCCGGGCCACCCGTTCATCTGGTGCCGTCTCCTAGAGGTAGTTATCCACTTTTTTCACCATTTCTATATATGTTTTTTTTTTTAAAAATCTTCTTTCATATTTCTACTTCATTACATGCTAGAAATTTTTCTTATTAGTGAGTTTCAGTAACTTCTTTTAAGCTTTTAGCTTCTCTCACCGACTTTGTAACTTAAAAGCATTTTCTTCTATTTTAACTTTTGGAGCTTCCATGTTGCTGGTTTCTCTAAATCTAATAACTTTTTCTTAGCAAATTATAAAGTTTTTTACTTTCATAAATCTTCTTATGTTTTTGGTTGCAGTGACGAAGGTAATTGTTGTTGTTCAACACCACCATTTGAACAAAGGACTGATCATGGAAATCACTCTCTCATCTATTGCCATTTCATGCATAGTTCTACCCATCATTTTCTTCTGGATCATCTGGCCAAAGATTCAGCTGGTTCAAGGCTTCAAAGACATCCAAAACCATGGTAATTGGTAAATCTAAACCTTTTCTGAGCTTGAATTTGTAGAAACAGTTTTTAACAATATGCTACATGTATATTACATTTGGTATAGATTATGCTACTAAAGGACTTCCCTTGGGTCCAATTTTTAGCAAGTTTAATTCGTCACAGATGATGAATAAGAAAGCATTTTTTGCAAACATCGAGTACTCATCTTTGGAGTTGGCCACAAAAAAATTTATTGAGAATAATATTTTGGAAGAAGGGAGAGTTGGCCATATTTATCAATCTTGCTTTGGAGTTCTTGCAGCTGTAATGATCTTAGATGGCTGTGGGCAGGACTATGACAGAATGTTTGATGTAAATTCGATCTCCATTTTTTTAACTATCTATATCAGTTGACTATTTTACTTTTGAACTACTAATTTAACTTGCATTTGTAGAATGAATTGGATTTTTTAGTAAGAATCGAAAACCGAAATATTGTTTCGCTTTTGGGTTATTGTATACATGGGGAAACAACATTTCTTGTCTACAAGTTGCTGCATAATGGTTCTTTGGAAACAAAATTGCATGGAACTTTCTCTTTGTTGTCTTGTAATAAAAATATAAACAGTAGAATTTTTTATCTTGAAGCAAATTTAATGTTTTGTATTTCTATTCAAGAATATTCTCATGGACCAGCTTTAACTTGGCATAAGATTCTTTCGGATTTGCCATTTACATTATAGTAATGAATCACATTTTCTATTTCCCAATTTAATGCCGAATAGAGGACTTGAAGATCTTAATGAGCACTGCTACCCTCCTGTGATTCATTGAGATTTGAAGGCATCAAATACTCTTCTTGATTTGGATTTTAATGCTAAGGTGCCTAATTCTTTTACAGTGGCATCTTACTATGTTTACATCAAATTGTAATATGAAAAATATTCTTCAACTAAGTCACTATTCTGAAACTAGATTTCAGGTTTTGGCCTTGCAGTTAGAGGTGGCCTAAATAAGGGTGCTACTGAACTTTCTAGGAAGCTATACAACACTGTACCAAAATATATTTTAGATGGTTTGTCACTTCATTACTCCTCACATGAATTGAAATTTCTTGTTCATCAATTACTCGACGCTGAGCAATTATATTTGAAATTATATTTATTTTAGGCAAGCTTATTAAGAAAAGTTATGTCTATGCATTCAGAGTAGTTCTTCTTGAGCTGCTGATTGGAAGGAGAATTGTTGAAAAAATTGCACCATCTCATTGCCAATCTCTTGTGACTTGGACATCATTTTGTGAAGTTAGGACATATAATATTGTTGCGTCCTGGAGTATTCGCGGCGGTAGAGAAATATTTAGTTTAACGTCTTAGCGTTGTACGAAAATCCGGCACGCAATCAGATAAGAAGAGAGGGTCTAGCATTTATGAGACACCAAGTTTTGCGATGCCGTATCAAATATATGATTAGTTTTTAACTTTTTATTTTAATCAATTATTTATCATGATATATAATATTGCATCATTCATGCTGCAAGTTATGCTGCAATTGACAAACCAATTTAAACCTCCAACTATTGTATCATTTGATTAGGGATATAATGGACCTAAAATATCTGTACCAAGCAAGTTTCGTCTTATGATGTCTCTTCTTTTTTTTTTTCTATAAGATTTTAGGTTTTACCATAAACACGTGGTTGCTTATAAATAGAGCCATGTTTTAGAAATAATAATATAAAAATAAAATCATTTTTTAGGAAATCTTTATAAATTTTGAACTTAATGTTTGTGTTTAAAAACGTTAAACTAAATGATGCCAAATATATACTATTATATAAGTGTGGCTTATGATTCTTCTTATAAATTCCTGATCGATCTTCTTTTTTAATTAAAAAAATCGTCACTATTTGATTTGTGCCTTTTCATATCCCATTCCTGTGCTTAGCTATTAAGCCTGCAAATTCTTATTCGACTTTGCGTGCAAAAGAGTTCTGAAAGAGTTGAAGTTTCATAGCAAGGTATTCTTGTTGGATCGTAGTCACAAATGGAACTCTCAGTGAAGAAGAGTTTTGAAAGAGTATCCAAAGAAGCTTTACGTGTTATTCTAGGGTTTAGGGAATTCACAGTGAAGTCACGACGTTGTTTCTGTCGGATCGGAAGTCATGATGGTAGTTTGCTGCGAAGGTACTGATCTTTCTCTCTTTTTTTCCTTGCACACTTCTTCGGCTATTCTAAAGAATAGTTTTGAAATAATTGCTAAAGAGCTTCTTCGCCTTCTTCCATAATGTTCTTCTTGTTAGATTGGAATTCATAATGGGAGCTCATCGGGTGCTCACATCAAGAAGAGTTTTGAAATTATTGCTAAAGATGATTCTTCACCTTCTTTTATGATGTTCTTCCTTTCAGATTGGAAGTCACCACGAGAACTCACCTCTAAGGTAATGATTTTTTTCTCCTTGTGTTTTTCTTTCTTGTTTCGGATGATATTATTTTGGTTTGTTTTGTTGTTTGCAATTACTGATAGCTTATATGTGCTTTGCATTTTACATAGGAAGCAAATACCTTCCCATGATTGATAAAGGTAGGTTTTACCTCTTGCACTTTTATCCCTCAAATGCAATGCAACTACCATTGAGCTATGTATTGGGTTTTATTTTAAGGTTTATAAAATTTTACTGGAGACAACCAAATGAACGCCTAGAGCTAAGGTGGAGAACATAATTTTTTTTTGTCAATACAGTTTAGAAGTGTGAACAAGAAATTAATGAATTATGTTGTATTACATCCCAAAAAAGAAAAAAAAAGTCATATTGAATTTCATCTGTCATTTTCTTAGCTCTCTGCCTATTTATATATAAGTTTTTTCTATGTCCAGTGATGGAGTGCTTTAGCTGAACAAGTTACTGTTGGAGTACCACCCAAAGCTTAAGCTTGTTCTAGAAAGAAATGTGTGAATTTTATAAGTTAGAACATTTGGTTACTTTTTTGTACTTAAAATTCTTTAATTTATCTTGTTTTGTAACATGAATTTTACTTGATATATCTACTTTTTTCCTTCTGGTAATAAAGACTCACCCCCATCATCAAATGGGACAAAGGAAAGGCCCTAGAGTTCTTGTTGGAGTCTCTTGGTATGCGGTAGTTTTACCTTAAAGACACATTACTTCTAGGGCTGTCAAAATCGGGTCATGGGTTAGGTTCGGGTCCAACCGAAAATTGACCTGTCATTAGTTATCGACCTGAATCCGACCAATTTTTAAAACAAGTCACTTTCTTGGACTCGATCCTGACTTGCTTCTGACTTGGGTCAACCTGACACAACCCTCCAACTCGTCGTCATCTTTACTTCTAATCCAACAAAAAATTGCGAGCTGCCGCTGACCCGATCGGAAGGAATGTCCTCGAAGGAGGCGTTGGTTGCCTTTGCAAATTGCAACGAGCGAGGCAGCTCCCGTCCTCCAAAGTCCTGTTGTTGTCGTTACTTTCGATCCAACAAAAAGAATGTCATTGAGCAGTTGTGACCTCTGACTCCACAATACATAGCCGAGCAGTAGTGACTTATGAGTTCCGATCTATCTACACCGTGTGATCAACCCGTGGAAGACCAGCATCATGCGATCAGCTAGTTCCACACCTGTGCGTATGAACTCATTCATTATGCCTATGCCTGTCCGACCTCAACATCGCTCGACTACACACGATTGTCCGGCCTTCTACACACTCATCTTCGAGCAAGGCTTCCTAACATGTTGAACCCATGTTTCAGGGTCAAAATCGGGTCATAACCAAGTCAAAATCGGGTCAAAACTAGGTTGACCTGATCCCGACCCCGGAATTTAAAACTAGTAAAAAATTGGGACCCGAACCCAACCTGTACCTAAAACTGGTTGACCCTAACCCAAAAAATTCGGGTCGGGTTTTCAGGTCATGTCAATTTTTGACATTCCTAATTACATCAAGTCATTTTCTCATTTTTGTTTCTTAATCTTCATTTATGTTAAGCAGAGTGTTGTTTTAGGTATATTGGCGGTTTGTGGTTAAAAGTTTAATGATTTTTCTATGTAGGATATGCCAACTGCAAAGATGTGTTCCCTATTTATATCCGTGATGATTGAACTGATGAAGATGCTTTCAAGTTTTTTTTTTTGTGAATATAACAGTAAGAAATTGTTCAATCTTATATTATTCAACTTTATCTCATTCATTTTTGGCATTTAAATGAGAAACTTTACAAAAATAATCCTGTTTTCTTCTTCTTTTGCAAAATATTTTTCAGGGTTAAAACTTCATTTTTTTTCAATTCTACTATAATTTATTATAATTTATTAATAAATCATTTTCATTAGGTTCTGTTCATATAATATATCATTTAAATATAAATCATTTTTCCTTAATATTTGATACATATTTTCTTATGAATTCCTGCATGGTAATACAAAACCGGTAAATAAAATGATTTGATGACAACAAATCATTTATTAGATAATGTCTATTTCATTCTACATTGTACTGTGATAACTGATAAATGATGATGATTAATGACCATTAATCATGAATGTTTTTTATGTTTTGATGTTAGATTCTGAGAGACGGGGGATAGGGCTTTGACATTCTTATTTCTAAGATCCCAAAGAAAACAAAAACTTCTTACTTTCTTCAAGAGGCTTTTGAGGCAAATTTTAACTAACATCAGATCTTTAACTATTTTCTTTTCCACCATTAAACTCTCTGATTTGGATTATTACTTATCAAAAGTTGAAATTTGTTCAATTATGTTGTGGGCTTGCTTTTTAACATATGTTTATCATAGTTAATAAAATTTTTTAAAGCGTATGTCCTCATCAGTTTGATTTATCAAATTATTGAGTCTGATTTATAGGATAAGCTTTCATAACTGATCTCTTGTCCCATCTTCATTTACTCTTATAATTTTTATTGGTAGTTTATTGACCCCTTTGAGCAATTGGGGTCATTACTTTTACCTACTTTAGATATTTCATTTTCATGTACTATTATAGATATTTGCATCTATTTTTTTTCTAACCTATTTGTATAATTTCATATTAGATACTTTATAATAAAGATTATTTTTTATTTGGATGCGCAATTCATAATGATTTAAGAGATCTGATTTAATGATAATAAATTGTTTTAATTAGTCGTTATCATAGATCGTCATTTTCTCAAAGAATGTTCGACTTGGTTTCTAATTTATGCATATTACAAAGTGTATTTGGCATCATTATAAGTGACTAATAAGATCATAGAGTTGGCTAGGTGATGAGCCTTATAACTTTTTTGGGACGGTGATGCTTCAGTGAACTCTGTTTATTTGTTTTCAAAAAATATTGAGCACATTATATTGCAAGGCATATCAATTTACCTCATGACTATTCAAGGATAGGTACTTGTGCTCTCAATGAAGATGGAATATGCAAATTATTCTTATTTCATATTCATTTTTCTTTGATATTTGGTGTTTTTATGTGTTCCATATTTAGTAGTACTCAATTCACAACATATTTATACCAAGATTCTTTGAATTAATTCTTATGCCAATAACTATAACATAGACATAGATGAACCTGAAAGGCATGAACTTTTTTATATAAAATTGGCAATCAATTGCACAACTGGTATGTGTGTATGATAATGATTTCCCATGGAGCACGGGCGGATGGGTCCTTACATGAGCTTGACATATTCATCTGTTAGGTGATGACACATCACCATGCTTCGGCTGGAACATTATGTCATGGTTGCTATGACTTTGATACATGTTTTTAATATTTACATGAATGGATATGCATTAAAAAATAATTTTTTATAAAAAGTAAATTTTTACTATTTATTAAAACTCTATCAATTATAGACGTCTTATTAATATCTATTACGTCAAAAAACTTATTTGGCACTAAATAATATTGTGCTTTTCTTTCCCGGCGCTAAATATCCATTAAGCCTTATTTGGATCGTGCATCTTTCCTTTGGAGAGCTAGGTAAAGTGAAAACTAGCACCCTTGTGTTTTTTTCATCCTCCCAATCGAATGCCTAATGTCGAACCATCACTCTAGGTAAAGGAGAACCTTATGGTTTCTTCCTCTCGCACCCCTATTATTGCCGCACCAGTAAACCTTCTTCAATATGCCTTGCAGTTTTGAAACATCCAAGGGGCGGATTATGTTTATTACTAATAGGATGTTGTGTTTTGAGATACATTAATCTGGAGGTAATTGGTTTATTTGCAATAGAATGGCTAAGTTTAAATATATGAAAATCTTGATAAAAAAGAGCTATAGCTTTTAGTGTAGGTGTCTGGTATTAGATGGCTATCTGTGTTAACATTGATCAATTTATTAATATGCTCTGCTAGGTTACTGATGGACCGGTTCACCCGGTCCATCCTAGACCCGTGTGGGTCTATGGGAGGCGGGCGGACCGGCTGGACAAAAAGGGGCCCACCCACTTAAGTGGGGGTAATTTGGGGATGTGAGGGACTTTTGGATTGTATGAAGGGGGCCATTAGGGTTTAGTTGGAGGCATTATGAAAAGTGTATTCTCTTTCTAGTTTTCTTCTTCTAGTTTCCTTTTTGTTCTTTTCTAGGGTTTTCTTGTGGGAGATCTTGTCCTTCTCGAAGTGGACAAACTTATCTTGTTTTCTCTTGGCTTTCTAATGCAAAGGTTCTTGCTTTTCATCTCAACCCTCTTGTGATTGTTTCTCTTTGCTTTTGGTGGAGAAATTCCTCATTTTTGGGGGAAATTAGGGCAAAACCGAAATTGTGGAACCCTAGGGCGTATCAGTTACATGGGTTGGATCTTCAATTGTTCAATTGTTTGATGCATGCTTTGTAGAATCTGATATCTAATACTAATTTTAGTGATAGTGGAACTAACTAAATGGTTATAGTGTCCATGATACTTAGAGGATACATATTTCTTGTCTGTGTTCAAACCTCTAACATTAGCTTGTAAGTTTCTCTGTTATCAGAATTATTTTTTCAAAATAATTGATAGCAGGTTGAACGGTTGTTCTCTTTAGCTCTGTAATGTGTGTAATCCATTTTCCCCTAGAAAGTCTTAAACCTATTATCATGTTATTAAATTTTTTAAAGTTATGTAATAGTAGTTTTGTTACACGGAAGTATGGATTTCTTCCCTGAAACTATTTTACTGTTGCTGAATGAAATCAGTGAAACAGTTTATGGAAAGCTCAAGGTTTGAAATTCCTCATAAAAGTGCTTTTGTCATTTTAATGAAGATGATAGGAAACACTTGTATATCTCAAGTAATTCCTATCAATATTTGAAAAATAGAGATAATTCTTCAAAAAAATCCACACAAAACTAGGAAAATAGTAGATAATTTGTATTATTTGATGAAATGAAAACGAAAAATACCAAGATACAATTGATCCTCTATTCGAGAGAAGGATCTATCTCTCCCAATTCTCTAGACGTCGTTAGAGCCCAAAACCTAAGAGAGATATCAAATTTTAGCTAAATTCAAGATGCTCTAATCTTAGAAAAACGAAGTATATTAAATTCATACAATCCAAAAGAAAATCTTTAAACAACCCCTACTTTAAAATTTCCCTCCTAAATCCTTCCTAATCAGGTTTTTTGGATTTTGCGGCTTGAGCGGCAAAGTAGGTAGAAATTCTCCGCTTCTGTTACCCGCGAGCTGGTTCCGTATGGACCGGTCAATGGGCCCGTCTAACAATACTCCCTTCCTAAAGACCCACCTTGTTCGCAAGGTGGGACGACAACACCCTCAATTCCCTCATCATCACAAACGATGAGAACCTGAGGACTTTGGTCCTTACATCTTTGCCATGGTGTATACCTCTCCTCACATTTGAAACAGAGCCCCTTATCTCTCTTCCAGGTGTTGGCTCCTTTGATGCTAAAAAGGTGGTGGTCATTTTGTACGTGTCTCCTGAGCTGCTTCCTTCCATCCCTTTTCCAGGTACCTTTGATCCTCCACCAATTGAGCTAGCTCCATAGCTTCTCCCAAGTCACGAGACCTCGTCACTCTAATTGCCTCCCGGATATCTAGTTTCAGTCCCTTCATGAAGTTCCCCTTTACCACGGTATCAGAAAGACGGTCCAATCAGCTAGTAAGGTACTCGAACTTCCTAGTACTCTATCACTGAATCATCTGGTGTCAAGGCAAAGAATTGCTCGTAGAAGTCTCCTCCACCTCCGTATGAGTCGTTGCATTTCCCTCAATTGGTACCAAGCCAAAGCCTTCTCTTCCAAACATAGGTTAGCAGCTGTTAGTCTCTCCTTCTCTGTCAACCTATTGATAATAAAGTATATTTACACCTTGTAGATCCACCCATGTTCATCCTCTCCCTAAAAAATAGGCATTTTCAGTTTTCTCACTCTCATGTCTCCTCCGTCAACCCTACTTCCTCCAATATTTCCCATTCCCCATGGGGGTGGTTTCCCCCAATTGTGCCAATAATCCTTCCATTCGCATCCAAACCTTTCATCTCAAGCCCACATTCTCTTCAAATTCAGCTCCCCTTCGATCATATTCAACCCCCTCTCCTTTCAAATTCGACATCCCTTCAATCATAATCAAGTCCTCACCTTTCTAATTCAGCCCTTCTTTCAAATTCAACACTCCACTCATGCCCAACCCCCTCACGCCTCTCCACATACCCTCTACCCGACTCCTCCCTAGAAATAGGCCTATGTTCCTTCCGAAATTTCAACCCGATTTTCCCTTCGTCTAATTGGCTTAGGGTTTTCCCCACTTCCCTGGCTGTTAGTGACTTCCCTCACCTCCTACGACTTTTTTTTAGTTTGGCCCTCGAGCACTTTCTTTAACATCTCCTCCATGAAGGAAAAATTCGAATCGATCTTATCATGTGTGACTGAAATATCTTTCGTTAAATATAAAATTTGAGTTTGGAGATTTGAAATTTCATATTTCGTTTGTCCGATCTCCCCTTCCAATACTTCTACTGTTCTTCCCGCCATATGTCCATGGTTCTTTGTAGGCTCAAAAATCCGGATTTCCCCCCTAAAAATTGCAAAAAACTTGATCCAAAGTAGAAAAAATTGCTGCTAGAATTATCTAAAAACAGCCTGGAAACCGCTTTGATATCAATTTGATAGGAAATACTTGTAGATCTCAAGTAATTCCTATCAATCTTTGAAAAACAACGAGATATCTCCACAAAAATCAACACAAAATTAGGAAAACAATATATAATTTGTATTATTTGATGAAATGGAAACGGAAAATGCCAATATAAAATTGATCCTCTATTCGAGAAGAGGATCTATCTCTCACAATTTTCTAGATGCCGCTAGAGCCCAAAACCTAATAGAGATATCAAATTTCAGCCAAATTCAAGATGCCATAATCTTAGGAAAACAACCTATTTAATGCATACACTCCAAAAAAATCATACAATCCAAAAGGAAATATCTAAATAACCTCTACTTTCAAATTTTCCTCCTAAACTTTTTTTTTTAAATTCCCCTCATTAACTCCTAAATTCTTCCTAATAAAGTCTTTTGGTTTCTGCGGCTTGTGCGGCACGAGCAAGAGGTAGAAATTCTCCACCTTTGTTACCTGTGAGCCGGTCCTGTATGGAACGGTTGGACCTGTCCAGTGGACCGGTCTAACAGAAGATGTATTGGACAGCCCATAATTTTTTCATCATTATTTCTTGCAGCAAATCATTCTCCTGTCTTGTTTTGATGGGCGATTCAATAATTTGATAAAAGGTAAATGAATTAAGTAAAGAAACCTCATTTTTCCTAGGAATTCTTTTATTGACAAACCAAAACGAAAAAAGTTGCTATCACACTAAATAATTAGTTAGCATAGGAAGATTAAGTGGAGAATTATAAATGACAGAGTGTTGGTTTAGTGATTGTCTTTAATGTTCAAACTGAATGAATTCTAAAAACCTTGTTGATTTTAGAAGACTTGCACTTCTTGCTGTGCGTATGGTAAATAATATGGATTTGAAAATTGATTAGCTATATATACATAGAAGCTTTAATAGTTGTCATGTTTCGTGGCCATAAAATAGATAAAAAATTGATGTTTTACCTGTCAGTCTTGTTTTTTATCATGTTATGTATAAATTTTGGTAATTTAAATGATTCCTTAGCAAGGAAGTAAAACCTAAAGTTTGGTATGTAAAGAAATTGCAGAATCTTCTCATAGCATTTTTTGGTGGAAATTTCATATGTAAATTGTATCATATCTAAATTATGATGTGAAATAATATTGAATTTAAAATGAATTATACTGTAAAGAAGACATTTTAATTGACAGGCTTTGATAACAATAATCATATATATATATATATATTATAAGAATTAATGTGTTGGATGAATTGTTTATGAGCTAAAATATTAATGGTCATACTGCAACCTTTAGATTTTGCTTGGATTGATCGAAAGTGAAGGAAATGAAATGAAATGTCAAGAAAATTTTGGTTGATTATAAATCTGCAGCTATTGATTTGAGTTTTTTAAACGGAATTGAATGTTTCTCTATTAATTGCAGCAACAATAGGTTATTTTTCCTATTCATAATGTTGTTAATATGATTGTTGCTCTGCTATGGATTTTGTAATCATCCGATGTGGGGAGCAGCTACGACGGATGTTTCAGGATTTGCTTATGATTATTAGAGGAGCTAGCACTTATTCTAGCTTAAGGATTTGTTAAATATACTTATGATTATTGGAGGAGATAGCACTTATTCTAGCTTAAGGATTTGGTAAATACTTCTTTAGTATTTGAAAGGTGAGAAGTAAGGTTTCGTTTGGGACGGCTTTTTTATTGCTTCTTAAAGTAGATTTTCACCTGATATAGAAATCAAAATTTGTGTACTTGAAAACTGTTTTATGAAGCAGTAAAAAACCGTTCCAAATGAAGCCTGAATCTTCTTGTTCTTTTCTTAATTGAGGAAGCCCCTTACTTTCATTGTGCTAGCCACCTTGGGGTTTGTTAATGCTACAATCTAGTTCCAGTTCTTAATATAAATATCTATTTCTAATGTGCATGTTCTTAATTTTTATATTGAAGGACGTATGATGGTTATTATGAGATTAATTTATCTATAATCATTCTATGATCATTTTGTTGCAGATTTTTCATCCAAGTCTAAGACAAGCTGGAAATCAGTTGCAATTTAGAACTTGTGGACCTGTAGGATTTTCTTAATCACTTGTACAGTTGAGATGGCACCTATGAACATGAAGGTGATTGGAAGAACAATGATAGTATTAGATCTATATGCTGCCACAGATTTCACTGGACTCTATAATACAAATGTTATTGAAGCAGCTAAAAGCATCATACTATGCTACAGAATCACTGTGCTTGTTTATATTTCTATTTTATCAAATTTATCTTATATGTATAATGCCCTAAGTTTGTGCATTATATCATTTTTTGAAGTTTGTGAAATTATCGTAAGTGATTAAAGAGATTGAGTGGTATGTTAATATCATTCAGCCTCTTGTAGGTTTGTACAAAAGTTGGGTTGAGCTCAAATCATCATCGTCTTAAGCTTAAGTTTGATTATTTGATTGAGTTTGAGCTCAAGGTTGAGCTTAGTTTTGAGAATATAAGTCAGCTAATGAGATAGCTCATTTATAATAAAAGATAAAAAATATCTTTTATTGATGTAGTTATTATTGTTGCTTGCTAGAACATTCATAGTGGTAGAGAGATAATAGCTTAATGTCTTAGCTTTGAATGAAGCTTCAATACACATTATAATAATTCAAACATGTAAAATAAATTTATTTGAAAATATGAAAATTTTAAAATAGAGTACTTTAGCATTGATCCGGTGAGTGTTGGGGTGTTAGACCATGAATAGTATATATATATATTATATCCTTGTCTCATTGCACTGACTCTATCACTTGATTGCTAGGCTTAAGAAAAAAAGAAAGAGGGGAAGAAGAGAGGAGAGAGAAAGGGTTTTAGATCATATTTAGTAGCAATTCATGTTACTTATTCTATTATATTCATTGTAAGTGACCAATCTCCTTTATTTTTTATGATTTTGATTTATATAAATTTTATCTATCATAAATATACAAATATTGCATTATCTCATAATGTCATAAGCTTTTACTGAGTAAGCTAGATATGTTATGAATTTGATCATTATGAATATTTGATATGATTTTATTGCAATTTAAATGAAATACTTAATAATATTAGATATATGATATGATAATTCTATGTGACATCTTATTGATCCATGTGATTTATTAATTGAGAGTCATAATGAGCTGAAGATTGATTGTGAGTTATAAGGAGTTGGGGTGACTGATTCACATGATTTAAGGAGAGTTATAAGGAGTACATTGATAAGGAGTTATAAGGGATGAATGATTGAGAATCATAAGTGCAGGAGTAAGATATTCTTAAGAAATACTTGTTGAATATCTGAATAATGATACTGACACTACTACAAACACTATATTGATATTATAATTGACACTAAAACTATATATTATTATTAACACTATTTAACGTTATTGATCAGGATACTAATATTGTTACTGCATTAGTATTGTTTACTGTTATTGATACTTTGACTGATAATATAATGGATTAAGATGAAATGAACTATAAAATGTTGAATTGATACAAATAATAGTATGTATATTGATGCATATATTTTTTTTATATGATTTATATCATATCATTATTTGTATCTTGCTTTAGTATCGATTGTACTATTTTAATTACTTGATGGCTATGTGCTCGTTATGTGATTTTACATATTTTTAAGAAAGTGTCATGATATTATGATATGATATTCTGGACAACATGCATAATTTCACTACTTATAGTTCTAGGTGAAATGCAATCATATTTCATTTCACTACTTATAGTTCTAGGTAAAATGCAACCATATTTGTTATATTATGCTTGGTACTTAGTACATATCCCACGACTATCATTAATCAAAAGTTTTCTCTCATTATCGAGATGGGTATTTAACTATAGGGTATGCGCATATAAGAAACTAGAATTCAAATTATAAAGTCCTCGCAAAATGAGGGTGAAATATCTTGGTAGTGTCTTATTTAAAACCTAATCTGCCTTCTAAAAATTCACCCAAAATTTAAGCTCTTTAAAACTCTCTGTCATAAAAAAGAGGCGAAGCGGAGAGGACAGGGCATGAAATTTTGGAGCTAGCTCGTGCTGGCAGCCTCGCCCTCACTCGCTCGCGGTCACACCCTTGCAAACACTAGCACTAGCATAGTCACGTATGATGCTCTCCTGCTCACACTTTCTGGTACCAGGATGGATTGGGTTAGCTGGGGGATAAGGGGTAGGTTGGGTTCAATCTTAATTTATGACCCATTTGTCTAATTGGGTCACGCTCAAGTCAAATTTGCTGAAGGCAGGTCAGTTTTGGGTTGGATCTGAACCCAATTCGAAGACCCATTTTGACACCCCCACTATTTCGTTGTTTATTAGTAAGCTATAGTTAAATGGTTAAAAAGAAAGATATATAATCTTCCAATATAGATCCTAAAGTGTGACACATATATATGTGAGAAAGAGATGTGCAGTAATTATAATCGATGCAAAAATTTTTATGTGAAAAATCAAAGAAAGGGAAAACTATAGGGCCTGACCAAATTAAAATGATTCCACTATTATTTATTGTTGATTACTAATGATGCCCTTCCTCGAGGACATGCATTGACACATTGTATAAATATACATCGTATAGAATATACTACATGATTAGAGTTGGAAGAATCTAATGATATGAGAGTTGTTCTCAAGAGGATGTTGGCTTGCTAGTTTGGTCGGTAGGATCGTAGTTAAGTGAAAGAGGTCAAAGGGACCATAGTTAGGTGATAGTGGTCAAAGCATAGTTGGTGGGTGATGAAGGTTGAAAGAGCTGTAGCCGAGCGGTGAAGGTCAAAGGGACCATAGTCATGGAGTGGCAGAGGTTAGAAGGATCATGGTCGGGCGATATAGGTTGGTGAGATTATAGTTTGGTTACGGTAGTTTTAGGGACGTAGTCAGACAATGGAGGTCAAAGGGATTGTAATCGGTGAGCGACTGAGATCAAAAGAATAATGGTTAGATAACAAAGGTCAAAGGGATTGTAGTCGGGGATGATGGCCAGAGGGACCATAATCGGTTGATGATAGTGGTAGGAGGGACCATAGTTGGCTTGTGATGAGGTTAGATTAATAGTAGTTAGCGGGTGACTATGGTTGGATGAATCATAATCGATGAATGATTGTGGTCAGAGGGATCGTAGTCGGGCGATGAAGGTCGAAGGGACCGTAATTCAGTGATAGAGGTATAGAGGCCGTTGTCAAGCAATAGAGGTTGTAGGGATCTTAGTTAGTGGGCGATGTAAGTTGGAGGGATCATTTTTGCACGATGATGGTAATAGGGATCGTGGTTGGTGAGTGATTATGGTTGGAGGGACTAAAGTTGTGCAACGAAAGTAGGAGGAATTAGAATTAGGTGATTAAAATCAAAGGTGCCATTATTGAGCTGCAAAGGTCGGAGGGACTATAATCGATAGGCGATAGAGGTAAGAGGGGTTATAGCCGAGTGATTGAGTTTGGATGGACCATTATTGAGTGATAGAGGTTTGACCGACCATAGTTGGCGGTTATTATCAAGTAAAATATGTTGTAGGGACCATAGTAAGTAGGCGACGAAGGTCGGAGGGACCATTATCATGTGATAGTGGTTAGAGGGAATACAGTTTGGGGGCAACTGTTGTATGAGATACTGGTAGTCAGTGGATGACTATGATTAAAGGAACAAAAGTTTAGCGAATGGGTCGAAAGGACTATAGTCAGTTGATAATGAAATTTTGGTGGTGGTAACTAAATGGAGGTCGATGGCGATGGTTTGGCAAAAGTGTAGTAGCGACGGTGGGGTGGTGAGGGTGTTGGCGGTGGTGCATTTGTGGAGCTCTGGGATTCTTGAATGCTTGAGTCTCTAGCTTAGGGTCTAAGTCTCCTCCAAAGTGCCCCTCATGTAGTGAGAGGGGTCTATTTATAGATTTTGAGAATAGCATGCTCCATAAATATGAAATCCCTTAAGTAAAAGAAAGCTAAACTCTAAACATCGAGATGCCTTTTAGTGTAATGGTTAGAATTTTCATAAGAAACTCTGTAGTTAAACGTACTAATATTAGAGCAATTTTGGGATGGGTGACCTACTGGGAAGTTATAACAATAGGGCAAAACCGTGAGGCTCATAGGCCAAAGCAGACAATATCTCGATAGTTAAGAGTTTGGGTTATTACAAATGGTATCAGAGCAATACACCAGCCGGAAGATGGGAACCAAGTGCCATACAAGACAAAGTGTTACGCCATGGGAGCCACCTCTTGAACCATATATGGAATAAAGTGCTACGTGACGGGAGTCACCACTTGAACTTATAGGGGCCACCTCTAGAGTCCTATCTACCTGGTGGATAATTCCGGGATACAGATATTGACGAGGATGTCAATTACTTAAGTGAGAAAGATTATGAAACCCTTAAATAAAAGAAAGCTAAAATCTAAACATCGAGGTGCCTTTTGGTGTAATGGTTAGAATTTTCGTAAGAAACTCTGTAGTTAAGCATGCTCATCTTAGAGAAATTCTTGGATGAGTGACATACTGGGAAGTTAGACCAACAGGGTAAAACAATGAGACTCTTAGGCCAAAGCGGATAATATCTAGATAGTAAATAGTTTGAGCTGTTACAATAAATATGGAAAAGACTTAGGATAAATTTGGAGTGCTCCATCAGATGATTTGTATTGATTCCCTTAATTATGGAGTGTTTATCAAACATTTAAGTGACTTAGTAATTTCAGAATTAAGTGGTATTGGGTTCATTAGATTCATTTCATTATGCCAGTCGATTTGACTAAAAGCAAGCATACCATATTTGAATATCATTTGATCATCCCATTAATATTTTGAAGCTTCCAAATATGCTTTGATTTATTGATTTGGGCTTAGACATGCTTTGAGATTCATACCTGATCAAAGCACTTTTTTGGTGGCACATTAGTTTCCCCCTTATTTTTAGATGTTGAAGCCTATAGAGTCTAAAAAACATGTGTCTAAGCTTTTCAAATTGTTTGTGAGGTAAATTTATAATTTCAAGAAAATTAGGAGGTGCGACTTCTCCCTGAACGCTAATGTGAAACTCCTCTCTAGCTAGTGCAATAACAACTAGCCATTTTCCCACTATGTGGGGTCGACTAAATGAATCATTTATCTCCATTGTTCCCAATTAAAGTTAAATTCTCATTTAAATCTAATAAAAAAAGGTCATTTCTAATATTTTCTGACCAAGTCATTTTAGGTCGACCTCTACCATTATTAACATAAGTAAAATCTAATACATCTACTTTCCTAATTGGTTTACCAGAAAGATGCCGTTTTAT